ATACATTATTAATCTTTAGGACAAGATTCTGGATGAAGAAGCTACTATTCTCATTCTGCTAAATGCACACAGTATTAAACTGGCTCCTGTGACTTTGCTTTGGATCCCTATATTAATGCATCTCTCAAACCTCAGCAGGAAATTTATATTTGTAATATATTGTGATCAATACAGGTACCCACAATAGCCAAAGTGCAGAGCATAAAAGACTGTGGAATACTTGGCTCTAAATGTGATATTTACATGACATCTAATTCTACAAAGTCTCAGGGTTAATTGTGAAAATGATGGGTCAAAAATGACTGAATGAGGTTTATGATAACAAAAAAGAAATAGTATCTCCTGGGGAGAGGAAGGCAGTTGCATAGATGAATTCAAAACCAGAGTGACAGCATGCACAAGATCAGTATATGGGCAAGCTAGACCAAATCCTAGCATGCACTGAGGTCATGGACATGAATTCCCACCATTAGTCAAGAGCTATAAGGAAATGATAGCTGTTGGGAGAGTCAGTTTCAAGAGAGTTGTGACAAGTAAGTTGACCATGCTCCAGTGAGAGGTCACACATTCATGAATATATGGGCATCACAAATTGAACTTCATGGACAAAAAGATAACAGCTGGGTTGGGTAGGTCCAGGAGGATTTGAGAAAGGGGGTGTGCTGTGGGATTTTCTGTATGGCAAATGTGTTGCTCTTATTGGTCAATAAATAAATCACTGATTGGTCAGTGGCTAGGCAGGAAGTATAGACGGGACAAGGAGGAGAATAAAGCTGGGAAGTGGAAGGCTGAGTTAGAGAGACACTGCCAGCTGCCATGATGAGAAACAGCATGTGAAGATGCCGGTAAGCCACGAGCCATGTGGCAAGGTATAGATTAATAGAAATGGCTTAATTTAAGCTGTAAGAACAGTTAGCAAGAAGCCTGCCATGGTCATACAGTTTGTAACCAATATAAGTCTCTGTGTTTACTTGGTTGGGTCTGAGCGGCTGTGGGACTGGCGGGTGACAAAGATTTGTCCTGACTGTGGGCAGGCAGGAAATCTCTAGCTACAAATGGCATCCAACATGGTGGCAAGAGTTTCCACCTAAAACCTGAGAAAAGATTCTAAAACAGAGCTAAAAACAGCTTCCTAATTGTCTCTCTCAAATGAGCAGCAGCTGCTGGTTTGAGCTACTGGCGGATTCCTAGTGTGTGCACTTGACCTGCAGTATGGCGGGAATGATGCCTCTGCAAGTGGCACATTAAGCTGTGTGGTGGATTTAGCCTTTGCTAGTAAAAAACAAAAAAAGAGGTTTCTGGGCTACACGCTGCTTGAATAAAAGCATAGAGACCCATGATAGCTCCCAGAGCTGGTGGTAAATGTATCACCGCCATGTTGGGAAGCTGAGGTGGGCAGAGCCAGCAGCCACAGCTGCTGCAGTTTAAAGCAATAGATTCACAATAAGACAGATTCAGATGTAATAGTTTACAATGTGTGTAAAATATACGTAGGCTTGAAAGAAAAAAAGGTGATATATATAGTTATATAAACAAATACATAGTTTTAAAATATAAAGTCTTTAAAGAGACAGTAAAATTAATATAAAAAATAAGCCACATAAAGATGAATATTATACAGAGAATCTGGATTGTGTTGTCTTTGGGATTTTTAACTGCAGAAAAACATTTGATTGTAAAAGCTGTTGAGTTATGCCAAAATGTATATTTTAAAGATACCTTGACTTCAAAATATGGATGTAAGGATGTGTTGCTTTGGAAAGGAGACTCTGCTTTTGTTTCCACAGAAAGCCAGAGGCTATGGATTTGTTCAAGATTAAGATACATCAGGTTTGACCAGGGAAGACCCCCTGAAAGGTCTCCGATGACACCATGGCCCAGTTGATCCAACATCCAGAATCTTTTGAAGGCAACTGGCTCAGACAATACGTCCTCATGGAGTATTCCATAATCCTTAAATTTTCTTTGTATCCCCAAAAGATACAGCGCCCCCCTCCAGCAGGAAGTAGTAAGAGAAGTTACGCCCAAATTCCCAAATTATATGTAATTTTACTTTGTTAAGGTTAAAACCTTCCTTTTTGAAAAAAAAAGGGGAGAAGTGCTGTGGGATGTTCTGTATGGCAAATGTGTTGCTCTGATTGGTCAATAAATAAATCACTGATTGGTCAGTGGCTAGGCAGGAAGTATAGGTGGGACAAGGAGGAGAATAAAGCTGGGAAGTGGAAGGCTGAGTCAGAGAGACACTGCCAGCCTTCATGATGAGAAATAGCATTGAAGATGCTGGTAAGCCACGAGCCACATGGCAAGGTATAGATTAATAGAAATGGGTTAATTTAAGCTATAAGAACAGTTAGCAAGAAGCCTGCCATTGCCATACAGTTTATAAGCAATATAAATCTCTGTGTTTACTTGGTTGGATCTGAGCGGCTGTGGGACTGGCAGGTGACAAAGATTTGTCCTGACTGTGGGCAGGCAGGAAAACTCTAGCTACAGGGGTGTATAGGATTAAAGCCCATTGGTTGAAATTCTCAAAAATCTAATGCAAATGAAGTAATAAGAAATATGGATCTAGATGGTATATGTCATATGACTATATGTTCTGCATTTTCTCAAATGAAATTCTAAGAGTAAATATAACATGTGCTCTATATGGTGTGAATAGAGGTAAGGACAAACATTCCAGAATAACCTGGGCTCTGTTACTGCCTACACTACAAATGCCATATAGTTTAGCTGTATGTTCCTATGGCTTCAGAGTACAAACTCCAGGATGGGCAGTCTTTCATTTTCCATGAAGAACTATGCAGACAAAAGGTATTTATATAGTGCCACTGCCATTCTGCATCATTCCTTAACCTTTGCAAACTCCAATACCTTGAAACCTCAACTTTTATATCTTATAGTTTGCTTGTAAGTAATTCTATTTCATGTGACTTGTGCATAAGTTTTTGCATATTGTCAGCCTCATGCCACTGACAGAAAAAATGGCAGAATATAATGTAAAGGTCATGTGTTCAGTGCTTTAACCTGAGATTCATACCAGTGTTCAGTTAATCTCCTGTAGAATTAATATATCTACAACACCACTGAACCAAACATTAACTTCTCCCAAAGGGAGAAAGTGAAGTCAAGGCCATTCCATCACAGATTGCTTCCTACCTTTTTCAGGCCTGATCATCCCCTCTTCTGAACTAATAGGGTAGAATGATATCCTCACTGTTATTTGGAAGAGAGTCAAATTTCCCCTTCTATTCACTTACAGGGGTCTCAGGTGAAGACAGTAGTTATTGAGAGCCCCCATTGATCCCATGCTGCCCCTGAATAACTTCTGATATTGAAGAGTTTGAGAATCAGACAAGAGAGATGACCAGGCAAACATTACAGAGCTGTGAGGCAGCTGACACAGCACATGACCCAAGGTACTTGTTTACCTACAGTTCTAAATAAAGAAGAGGAGTAATTCACTCACTAGTTTTGGAGTCTGGTTCTGAGCAGGAAGAGCAATTTCTGAATGTGTTTACTATTTAATGGGAAGAAGAGAGAGAGAGAGAGAGAGAGAGAGAGAGAGAGAGAGAGAGAGAGAGAGAGAGAGAGGTCAATGATGCTGTCTGTCTTCCTCTTATGGAAAGTCCTTTCAGGTTGGTCAGTGACCAGCATCCACTTCACCCTTAGTTCTGAGTGTCAGTGTTATAGGATGCCTTTATATGGTTTGCTTAGAGGATGGCACTCTGTCCTTGGATTTCAATGTGTGGTGAGACAATAGGAATACTGTGGAGAGATCTATGTGATAGAGTTGTCAGGGGGCTGCTCCATCTCTGCTCTACCTAACTAATCCCAACCTCATCGATTATGAGTCTTTCTTGGCTACTTTCTATATCTGTGTGTACATAAGATGTCCTGGTGTGTCTGGCCAAGCAAGGTCAGGATTGTTTAGGATGCTCCCTGTCCATTATTTTATAATCTGATACCCTTATTCAAACTTCATCTGTTTTTATTTTAAAAGTTTTTAATCCATATATAATTATATCCCTTCGCTCTCCCTTTCATGTCTCCAGCACTTTCCAGGTATCCTTCTTCCAAACTTCCCATACCACCCCTACTCTTTAGGTGATATTCTCTTTTTCTTTGATTATTATTATTGTTAGTGTTGTATGTATTTATATATTGATATATTGTAATGTTTTATATAAATATATGTATAGCTTGATGAGTATAGTGTTTTAATACATAACACACACACACACACACACACACACACATATATATATATATATATGGAATACACATATATGTACATATATACATATATATGGATAATTACAGGGATAATGTCTCTGGACACAGTAGGGCAGACACATATATGAACTCCACAAGAGGTTGTGACTGCATTCCCAAGACCTGTGCATTCTCAAGCTAGAAAAAAAATCCTAGCATGGAGACTGGAGGTGAACATGAAGTCCCACCCTTAGCCAAGGTACTATAGACAATTGATAACTATTCAGAGGAGAGTCAGTTTTAGGAGTGTTGTTACTAGTAAATTGACTATGGCTCAGCAGAATGCACAGATCCAAGAATATATTTGTATTATGCCATTGGCAGAAAACTGCAGGACCCTTTGTGTATATCACGTGTTCAGTTTCTCCATCTGAGATTGACACCAGTGCTCAGTTAAGCTGCTTTGCAACTTCTACTTCTACAACACCTTGAACTAGACATTTAATTCTCTTGTAGGGAAAAAGTGAAGTCAAGGCTATTCTGTCAGAAGTGGTATTTTTATATACAAATCCTCCCTTCTGCTCACTTGCTTCCTTCTTCAGTCTCCATCACCTTCTCCCCAGGAGGAACAGACCTAGAATGAACACTTCATTGATCCTGAGAAGGGAGTAAAGTTACTCTCCTTCTCACTCACAGAATGTCTCAGGTACAGAAATTAGAGATGAATAGACCTTATATTTCCCTAGCTGCGCCTAAACAACTTCTAATGTTGCAGGTTTCAAGAATCAAAGAGCGGAGATGATGATGATAATGCTACTGAGCCAAGATGGAACTGAGACAAAAAAATGAGCCAAGGAGATTTTAGTCCCTAAGTTTCCACAGTAGAGAAGAGGGATCAATTACTTACTAGTTTTGGAATCTGGTTCTGTACAGGAAGTGCAATTTCTTGAGGAGATTACCAGAGAAAGGGACAGAAGAGGGAGAAAGGTCATCAAGAGCCTGTGTGCCTTCATCTATGGAGTGTTTTTTGAGTTTGGACAGTGACCAGCACCTACTAAACCCCTTAATGTCGAACCTTTAGAGTCATAGGGTACCATTATGTGGTTTTCCTCTAGGTATAGACTCTCTCTTTGGATTTCAAGTTGTTATGATTCAAGAAGAATGTGTAGTGGCATTCCTGCTGAGCTCCTGGCTTGGCTCCAGAGAGCAGCACCTAGCCCCAATCCTTCCTTTGTTTAGCCACACCTTTTGTTTCTCTTAGCTTTTGTTTCCCTTATTGCCCTATGTGAATCTTGTTTGAAAGTCAAGGATCAGACAGTCCTCCAAGGATCAAAGGCCTATGCAAAACTTGTTCCAGGAAACCTGGAAAACCGAGGTACCTGATAATTCATGTATTTTGCACCTGGCATTTGGTCTCTGGGAGCTCCTTTTGCATTGCTTTGAAGGTATGGAAATTAACTATCTAAACTGGAAAAAGGAGTAAATAAATTTGTCCTAGGCGAAGGGAAGAGTGCTTCAGTCCTTTGAGGCTAGACCCCCCTGCAGCCATGATAGGCTAGATTCATTCATAAGATGCCTCTGTGTCTTCATTCCATGGACCCGCATGAACCCACACACTCATGTAGGGACCACACAGCTACAAGAATGCTATGGGGAGATCTGTGTGATTGAGAGTTTAGGTGGGCTTCACCATTTCTGCTCTTCCCAAACTGATTTGAACCCCATCCCTAATGAGTCCGTCCTGACCTGTTTCAATATCTGCCTGGACACACAGATCTCCCAGTTTGGGTGCAGTGATATAAGGAGTGTTTGGGAGGCTACCTGTCTATCATTTTGTAATCTGATACCATGTCTCAAGTTCCATGTCTTTTATAAAAGGTTTGAGTAAGGAGAGAAGTCATAGACTAAATATGAAATAAAAGTGTATTCCTTTCTTCCTCTCTTTCCTGTTTCTAGCCCCTTCCATTTACCCTTTCACCAAGCTTTTGCATATCCCCACAGCACTTTTAAGCTGATTGCCTCTTTTTTTCTGATAATTATTGGTATATGTATATCTACAGATATGCATATTTACATATATATGTATGTATGTGCGTCATATAAGTCATATATGCATACACATATATACATATTTATATACATATATATACACATATATACATATAAGTATATAAATATCTTACACACACATGGTTTTAGTATTTCATTAGTCACAAGATATGAGATCTATATGAGGTTTTCTTACCTGTGACAGGAAAGTACCATGGGTCACTTGGGGATGACCACACATGGGAAGAGTTACTGAAAGAGCCATAGCATCTATAGTTCCCTGTCTGGATTACAGGACCAAGAAGGAAGTTGGCCTGGAATGTCCCACTGTGGCTCTGCACTGCAGGCAGCCCATGCCCCTGAGGCACCCCTTCTCTGGACAGATGGAACATGTCAAACAGATGGTCAGAGATGCAGGACAAGGTCACATTCTCTCCTGACATCACCACACGGCTCATCAGGGCTGACAGAGAAGGTTTCTTGTACAAACCTGGAAGAAAAGAGCCAGAGACAGTTAGAGGGAGAGTTTCTTACTAGTGTTTATTCACTGCTCAGTGTTTCCTCTCCCTGATTCCATTTCTGTGATCTTCCTGCCTCTCACCATCTCCCTCTCTCAATTTCTCCACTTCTCCTCTCTTTCTCTCCTTCTCTCTCTTCCTTTCTATGTTATCATATTTAGTCTATGACTTCTCTCCTTACTCAAACATTTTATGACAGTTTTTGCTTTTTACATTTTCTGCCTCTGTTTTCATTGGTTCAGTCAATCTGTGTTTTAACATATGTTTTTATAACATAATAAATTTTATCTAGTAATTGACAAAATTATGAAATATTCATTTGCATACATAATATATATTTTATACTTGGTTTAAAACATTTCTTAATTTTTGAAATTGAAATAGAGTTACACCATTTCATATATTTAAATTGTTTTAAAAATTGTTGTTACAACGCTGGGCGGTGGTGGTGCACGCCTTTAATCCCAGCACTCGGGAGGCAGAGGCAGGCGGATCCCTGTGAGTTCGAGGCCAGCCTGGTCTACAGCGGGAGATCCAGGAAAGGCACAAAGCTACACAGAGAAACCCTGTCTCGAAAAACCAAAAAAAAAATTGCTGTTACATATATATTTATATATGTATAATATAAATCATATTAATGCTATTATTCTCAATTGTCCCTCAACTTCCACTAATTAATCTCACTTCAAAGTACAGAATAATCCATAAATATCTATATTTCTCTTGAACAGTGGCCATGGTGATCTTCCCTCTCTTGTTCCTCTCAGTGTGTGTACTGCTCATGTGTGATCTATTGTCTGCCTCCCAAGCATTTGGTTTAGAATTTGTTTTTGAGTTCTACCTCTATAAGAATTCTTCCAAGAAAGCCAGATATATCATGTGTCTGACAAGCTCTGTCTTGACATATATAACATCTGCTATGATTTTTCCATCTCTATTTTCAAAGTTTCCATTCAGGCTTCTGTCTTTTTGTAGTTTTTCTCTTAGCACACATTCCATGTTTACTAATTCCCAGCAAATCCTGGGTTCCACCTGTGTGAAGGTATAAGGATTCATTAAGAACCAGCCCAACTAAGTATTTGGACTCAGGTCATACATATTATATGTCTGGTTCTCTTGGTAGACTTCTTGTAGAGGTAGAAGTCAAAAAGTTTCTGAATGTTAATAGAAAGCCTTCATTCTCTCAGGTTCATATCATGCTCACCCAATCGCCATTTTCTGTTTATCTCTACTTATGACTCCTTTGCACCTCCTTGTATCTGTGCTTGATGTTACAACCAATGGTCTGTTCTTATGTATTTCTTTTCATTGTCTATGTCAGTAAAACACTTAACAAGGTTGGCTTCATGTAAATTTCCCACACTAATTTTCCTTGTGGCCTCCCACAGTTTTTAGTGTATAGAATATTTTTCTGTATCACAAAGAGAATGATGAGCAGGTAACATGCTCTTACCTGTGATCTTTATGTGAATGGGGTCACTGGATTCAGACCACTCATACGTTGTGTGATTGTAAGAACCATAACATGTGTAATTCCCAGCATGATCAGGTGTCATAGGACCTATTTTGAACTTGGCCTGGGACCTCCCAAGATGATCTTCAGCAGAAAGCTGCAAAGAGTCCTTGATTATTCCTTTTGTGTGAAAAGTCAAAGTGAAAAATTCAAACATAATCTCTGAATGACACTCCAGTGTCACCTTCTCTCCTAAATTCACCAGGGGATTTCGTAAGGCCAAGAGGAAAGGCTTCCTGTAGATTCCTATAAATAAAGAAATTGTATGAACCTGATCAAAATCTCTGTGTCCTTGAAGACCTGTGGTTCTCCCACAATTGATCTGTTCTTCCTGCTAGTGCCCCAGTGCTCTTGTTTTTTGTCTATTTCAACTCTGGATACAGAATCCTCCATTGTTGTGTCCATTTTCCACGTGTTTGACTCTAGAATTAGCACAATATTATCCCATTTGCTTGTTGTGAGAATGTCTTTTGAACCCTATTTCCATAGACCCTATTGTTGTAGTGGGAAAGTTTTCCTGGTCTTGCCTGGCTCCTGTGGCACCAAAGTCCCGTAGCCACTCAGACCCAAGTAAACACACAGAGGCTTATATTAATTAAAACTGCTGGCCATTAACTCAGACTAACTACTTACTAGTTTTCACACTTAAACTCAGCCCATTTCTGTTAATCTATATGTTGCCATATGTTCTGTGGCTTTACCTGTGTGCCATTCCATGCTGCTCCCTGGATGGAGGGATGGTGTCTCCTGACTCAGCCTTCCTCTTCCCAGAATTCTCTGTTTTTCCTTCCTATACTGGCTACTGGCCAATCAGCATTTTATTAAACTAGTGTCCAAAAGCATTATCCCACAGCATATTGTCCTTTTCTAAAATTGGGGAATGCAGGAAACATGCCAAGCTTCAAATTAGGCTGCTTTATGTGTCCTTTTTTATGCAACTTTGGATAAAGTATAATCCTTGGCAGGATAAAGTAATTGGTATTGAACATAGTGATCAGGGAAACATTTCAGCCCTCTCTGTGGTTCAAACTTCTGTAAGGCATTCCTGATCCAGAATCATGAACATTGTTTCCTTTCAACATGTTGATGAGTTAGCATCTTGACTTACTGCTCTCAGAGCATCCCTTTCATGCTACTTAATTTCCCCTTGACATGAGTTCCTATATTATTTTCCAAATGCTAACATAACAAATACCACAAATTTGATTCTCACAAAGAGTACAAGAATTGTGGAGATCAGAATTCTGAAAAGCTTAAATGGCCTAAATCAATTATCTTCAGGGATAGTAACTACTGATCCCTAGGAAAGTGTCCACTTTTTTCCTTCCAGCCACTAGAGCCTCATGCATCCCTTGGCACTTGGACCCTTCCCTCATGTTCAGAGTTTGTGACAGGGGGTCTCCCTCATGATGATTTGTTTTGCCCACAACTGAATTTTTCCTGATTTTGTTATATCAACCCTTGTAGTTCTACAGACCCAGGACAATTCAGGATATTCTAGCATCCTGATGTCAACTTGTTAAGATTTGAGTTCCATCTTCCAGCCCAAATTTTCCTTGACTTACTTAACACACAGGAAGCTTTAGGGACTAGAAAAATGCATATCCTTGTGTATCATATTATGCCCAGAACATTATATATTTCTCTATGTTGAATATTCCTTATAAGTCCAAGCCTCTGACTAATACTCTTTCAGACAATTACAGGGTTTGGAGATTTTGGGGAATGAAAAAATACAATAAATGTCATCTCTGACCTGAAATTATAATCTTCAGAGGGTCACTGTGTGCTGAAGTTTCATCAGGGGATTGATAATTAAGACCATAGCATCTGTATGTTCCTGCATATGCTGGTGTCACAGGACCCAAGACAAGTTTCCTCTGGAATATTCTTTCATGGATCTGAGGAATAGGATTACCATGTTCTTTGTACAACTTGAATATGTAATAGTCATTATGATGGTAACATTCAAATTCCACATGCTGTCCCAAAGGAACAATATGGCTTGGCCAGGCAGAGAGTGAAGGCTTATCATGATATCCTGCAGAGAGATGCACAGAGTAAAAAATTTAATGATGCTCCTTCATTGCTGTGGTGATATTGTCTTCCCCCAAATACTGTACACCCGAATAAACTTATCTGCGGTCAGAGAACAGAACAGCCACTAGAGATAGAGGCCAGAAAATGGTGGCACACATGCCTTTAATCCTATCACTTGGGAGGCGAAGATCCATCCGGATCTCTGTGAGTTCAAAGCCACACTGGAAACAGCCAGGCATGGTGACTCATGCCTTTAATCCCAGGAAGTGAGGGCAGAAAGCAGAAAGATATATAAGGTGTGAGCACCAGGAACTAGGCTTCTTAAGTTTTTAGGCTTTGAGCAACAGTTCAGCTGAGATTCATTCTGGATAAGAACTGAAAAGCTTCCAGTCTGAGAAAACAGGGTCAGCTGAGGAATTAGCAAGGTGAGGTGGCTGTGGCTTGTTGCTTCTCTGATCTTCCAGCATTCATCCCAATACCTGGCTCCCCAGGTTTGTTTTTATTAGCAAGACCCTTTAAGATTCCTGCTACACATCCCTGAGAGCTGAACTTCCAATTTTCATTTCCTTTGGGGTCTTCTGTATAACATTTTTCTCTGAATTGAAACATCCATGTTTCAATGTGAGAGGTTGAGGGGCTCAGGATAATCAGAAAGTAAACAAACATCATATGCCCTGGGAAGCTGAGGCATTCAGGATTCATGAGTAACCCTTTCAACTCTATAGAAAGAGTAAGCTACTTGGCCAGCTGAGCTCTAGAAGGAGATTTCTAAGACCTGTTGAGTAGCCTCCAAGTTATGCACAGAGTTCCAGAGCTTTGGCTGTCATGATAAGCACTCATATAGAGATGTGCTTTCAGTACTGTTTTGAGTTATCACTTGCTTCTGTAAGTAACCCCTAAACTACACTCACAGAGGAGGCACAAAAAAAAGAAAAGAAAATTCTGCAGGGAACCATGACCACGCCTATCAGCAGCTTTGAAATCTTCAAAAGGATGATTCCACTTGGAATATGATAATTCCATTAAGCTGATTAACACCACTGAACGATCTGCTTTGGACTAAAAACTGCTCAGGACAATTTTGAGATGGCTAGCTGAGATGATCCAGATTCACAGACTACTTGAGCAAGGACTTAAGACTGCATTTTCCTATTATGCAAAGACTGGACAAATGATACAGGACTTGATAATTAACCCCAAAATTTTCTTTTCAGGATCCCCTAAAGATATTTTCGCCCCAAAAAAGCAGGAAGTAATTTTAAGAAAATGACACCCACATTCCCAAGAGGTGGGGTGGGTAGTTTTTGGTTATTTAGGTTATGGATAGTGTCATTGTTTATGATGGTTGGTTACAAGTTGCTAATTGTTAATGTTCAGGAAAAAAGCTAAACAAGGAGATTAGATTCATAGGTTTTTGTTTAAAAAAAGGAAAAGAGAAAAGAGGATATAGATATGAGGTAGATCATTGAATCTACTGTTAAAAATATAGAAATAATAGAATAAAAGTTTGTTTATTGAATATACTCTAAAAGGAAAGAGAAGATATAGAGATGATAACATAAGAGGTAGATTTTTAAATCTACTCAGAAAAGAAAAAAGAAAGAATATGGATATCATAAAAAGGTAGATTATTGCATCTACTTTTAAAAAGGAAATACTTGTTTTCAATATTTTACATTGAATTGGATTTTTCTATATTATATACAAATTTTGTATTGGACTCACCAAAATAGGGTACATTTTCATTATTCACTCATCAGCTGAAGGACATTCAGGTTGTTCCCGTGTCCTGGCTATTGAGAACAGAGCAGCAAAGAACATGACTGAACCAGCATCCATGGCATAGGACGTCAGGTTCTTTGGATATATGCTGAAGGGTGGACATGATGAACATATAGTACTCATGTATGAAAGTCTCAAACATATTAAATTTATAGAGAAAATCATCTTTTATTAAAGAAAAAAGATGTGATCTAACTATGAAAAAACTCTAGGTTGAAATTGTTATGAATTTTTTAAATGATTCATCAAACAACATAAAAACTTTGGAAACCACCCTTGTAGACAAAGAATACACCTACTGAATTGGAAAATTTTATGGACCAGCTTAATGTCTAAGTAGGTAACGGTTATTGCTACCAAGCCTGATTCTGAAAATCATTGCTGGGACCCAAGTGGGGAGAGGAAAAAACTGATCCCAGTAGATATTTCTCTGACCTCCATACTTTTAAAATAGTATATACACACACACACACACACACAGACACACATACATCAAATGAATGTAAACTTTAAAAAGTTAAGAGAGCATTTTAATAGTTTACTTGATGATAAAATAGGAGAATGAGTAAGCATAGACTGGACACTTTATAATTAGAGGTAAATACCGAAATTGAATAAAATACAATTAAAAGAATGACCAGATAATTTTGAAACTATCCTAATACTAAATTATAAGTCACAAAAATTATAAGTCATAAAAATTCAAGAAAGTGTAAAGGAACATTGAGGTTTATATGGGAGGATGGCGGTAGCACCGAAAATTAGTTTAGGGAGTGGGTTGAATATTATTAAAAGTATGGTATGATCCATCCATTTGCCTGCAAACCTCATGATGTCATTGTTTTTCTCTGCTGAGTAGTATTCCATTGTGTATATGTGCCACATTTTATTTATCCATTCTCAGTTGAAGGGCATCTAGGTTGTTTCCAGGTTCTGGCTATTACAAACAATGCTGATATGAACAAGTGCCCTTGTGGTATGATTGAGCATTCCTTGGGTATATGCCCAAGAGTGGTATAGCTGGATCTTGGGGGAGATTGATTCTCAATTTTCTAAGAAAGCACCATATTGATTTCCAAAGTAGATGTACAAGCTTGCATTCCCACCAACAGTGGAGGAGAGTTCCCCTAGCTCCACATCCTCTCCAGCATAAGCTGTCTTCAGTGTTTTTGATCTTAGCCATTCTGACAGGTGTAAGGTGGTATCTCAGAGTTGTTTTGATTTGCATTTCCCTGATGATTAGGGATGTTGAGCAATTCCTCAAATGGATGGATCTAGAAAAAATCATCCTGAGTGAGGTAACCCAGACTCAGAAAGACAAACATGGTATGTACTCACTCATAGGAGGATACTAGATGTAAAACAAAGATGACTAGACTGCTACTCACAACTCCAGGGAGGCTACCTAGAAAACAGGACCCCAAGAAAGACACAAGGATCACCCAATGATAGAGAAATGGATGAGATCTACATGAACAACATGGATGTGAGTGGGGATAATGAAGGGCAAGGGTCGAGGGAAAGAGAGCTTAGGGGAGTGGGAGATCCCAGATAGATCAAGAGCATAGATGGAGAACAAGGAATAAGAGACCATGATAAATGAAGAGCACATGAGAATAGGAAGAAGCAAAGTGATAGAGAGGTCCCCAGAAATCCACAATGATACCTCCACAATAGACTACTGGCAATGTCCGAGAGACAGCTTGAACTGACCTACTTTGGTGATAGGATGGCCAAACAATCTAATTGTCATGCTAGAAACCTCATCCAATGACTGAGGGAACCAGATGCAGAGATCCACGGCTAGGCCCCAGGTGGAGCTCCAGGATTCCAATTGGAGAGAAAGAGGAGGGCTTGTATGAGTGAGAATTGTTGAGACCAAGTTTGGAAAAAGCACAGGGACAAATAGCCAAACGAATGGAAACACATGAACTATGAACAAATAGCTGAGGAGCCCCCAACTGGATCAGGCCCTCTGAATGGGTTAGACAGTTGATTGGCTTGATCTGTTTGGGAGGCATCCAGGCAGTGGGACCTGGACCTGTCTTCAGTGCATGTACTGTCTGTTTGGAACCTGGAGCTTATACAGGGACACTTGGCTCGGCCTGGGTGGAGGGGACTGGACCTGCCTGGACTGAATCTACCAAGTTGAACTCAATCCTCAGGGGAGTCTTAGCCATGGAGGTGGTGGGAATAGGAGATGGGCTGGGGGGAAGGCAGGGGCCAGGAGGGGGGAGAACAAAGGAATCCGTGGCTGATATGTAAAATTAAATTAAATTATAAAATAAAATTTAAAAAAAGTATGGTATGAAATTCTCGAAGAATTTGTAAAATATTTACAAAAAGACATAAAAATAGCTAATAAAAGGAAGCAGAAAAAACCATACAACATTCATGAAAAAAATGAATATGGTCAGGTCCAAGATGGGCAAATGACATGAAACAAATTCAAACCAAATAGTCAAGATCACAGAATATATAATTATCATAAGAGATCCTGATATCAGAATGACCAAAGAAGCAAAGAACACAAGAGGCATTTCCAGTACAGTTAATGGTAGTCTTCTGAGCAATTATCTACAGGACACAAGAGACCAGGGTGACCAGATAGTGGAAAACAGAAAAAACACTGTCTACAAATATCAGCAACACTGTCATTCAGAAATGAAATATATAAAGATTTTCTCAGAAATACAGCAGCAGACAAAGTCCATCACAGTAAGCTCAGGAAATGCTGTGGAGTTATTGGAGCTGAAAGAAAAGGCTGGCAATGAGTTACATGAAAATATCTTCATGTTGAAAATGTAAAAGTAGCTCACCAAAGCAAAACAAAATTAGATGTTACAATAGTGTGGTGATGGTACACAAATTCTATCTGTAGCACAGATGTTTAAAGACAAAAATAATCCCATAATTTGTCCAGTGACATATATATCTAAAAAGTCATAAATTATAACATAATTTCAATACACTTGGAGGTGGTCAGGAGGGAATGTAGCAATATGGAAGATACGTTTTTAAAAAATTGATTATCCAGCAGGTGCTGTGGCCCACACTTTTAATTGCAGCACTTGAGAGGCATAGCCAGGTGAATATCTGAGTTCATGGGTAGCCTGGTCTACAAAGTAAACTCTAGGATAGTCAGGGTAACACAGAGAAACCCTGTGTTGAAAAACCAAAAAGTAAAAGTTCATCCAATCAAAGTTGATGCCTGACCCTACTAAGGGCAGTGTCTGGGACAATCTGGGAAGAACTGATAGGCAGGTTTCCAGGGTCTTAATTTTGAAATTCAAAACACTCACCAACAAGTCACTCACAGAAGCCAGCAGCCAACACCCTGTGATGCCTTTCCTCCTGTTAGAATAAAATCTATTTATTTTGATGGATATTATCTCAAGGTTTTAAGGATGGACTCACCTGCTTGTGCCAATGTCCTCAGTACTAGGAAGAGGCCTGGGAAGAAAAACTCATGATGAATGATCTTTGTTTTTCCAGTAGCCTGGCCATCTGACATCCCTGTCCCTGTTGGGCCTCTGTACATTAGAATTAGAGCTCAGTTAAGATGAACTCATGCACTAATATGAAACATGGAAGCCAGTGTTTCTGCTGTAGACAGATCAGGCCCCCCTCCCAGGATGATATTTCCACCCTGTTATTTCACCGTATCTATTTCCAGCAGGACTCACCAGTATAGATCAGGTTTAGGAGCACAGACAGCATGGTGCTGCTTTGGCTGACAAGAGGCAGAACCAGAATAAAACTTAATATAGGATGTGAGAGGCTGGAGGTGTCTACTTGACCACAGCACGGAAAGCTTACCAACAGAAACATCCGCTGTCACTGCGACTTTCATTTGTGTGTGTGTGTGTGTGTGTGTGTGTGTGTGTGTGTGTGTGTGTGTGTGTGACAGCATTTTTCTGTAGCCCTGGCTATACTGGAATGTACTTTGTAGAGCAGACTAGGCTGGCTTTGAATTCAAAGCCCCACTAGCATCTGCCTCCCAGGTGCTTAGATTAAAAGTGTGGGTTCTCTTACCAGGTAGTAAAAGTCTCCGCTTTTACCATTGCCTTGTTGGACCATAGCTTTGATTATTGTTCAGACTTTAGCTTTTCAGCAAAAGTATTTGCTATGACTGCAGCTTGGTTGTATCTTAGACATACTTCCTTGTTTCAAAACGGTTAAATCTGATTATTGTACTCCAACTTTTGATGTGTTCTTTTGCTTTTTATATCTGAGACTCAGTGTTTCCTCTGGCTTTCTATGCAGCATGTCCAATAATTATTATTTCTATTGTAAGAGCAATCCAAATTGTCATTCAAAATGATTATACTGCTACTATTCCAGTTTCAGGTTACAGTTATTCAGTTTCTTAATTAATCATGTAGGTATTTACAATAATAAAATTCCACTTTTTAATAATTGAACAAACAAAGCAAGTAAGTTTTTTGTTTTATTTGAAATTTGTTTTAAGAAGTTGAGAAAATATCAATAAATGAGAGAATATCTCATGCTCATGTATTAGTAGGAATTGCATAGTAAAAATGGCCATACTATCAAAAGTAAACTAAAGAATCCCATCTATGCAGTCATATCAAAATTCCAACACAATGCTACACAGATCTTAAAAAGACAATTTCAGCTTTAATGTAAACACACAGAAAAATAACAGGATAGTTAAACTGTCATGAACAATAAAAGAACTGCTGGAGGTCTCACCACTCCTAACTTCAAGTCATTCTATAGACCTACATTAATAAACACAACACAGTACTGGTACAAGACAGACACATTCATCTGTGAAATCAAATTGAAGACCCAGACATAATTCCAAACATCTATGCATATCTGATCTTTGATAAAGAAACTCAAAATATTCAATGGAAAAAAGACAGTATATTCAACAAATAATTTTGATAAACCTGGGTGGCTGCATGTAGAAAAGTGCAAATAGCTTCATACTTATCAAATGCAACAAACTCAAAACAATTATAACCCCTAAGTGCATGCTAAATATCTAAATATTCTCCTTAAAGATTCATAGAAATGCAGCTCTCACACCTGAAGGGAAAAAACCCCATTGATCAGCATCAAACAAACACCAATACAAACCCCAAAACAAACAATAGAGAGAACAGATGATTATGAGGTGTCCAGGCCTAGCTGATCAATTACAGCAGAACTCCTGCACCTAAGGCTCGGGCAACATCATACAAGAAGGGAAAGAAAGATTGTAATACCCAGAGGAAGAAGATGTTTGCTGTGAGATGGCATCTGCTAGAAATGTAAATATACAATCATGTAAAAATAAATAACATTATACACATTAATCTGATTACATTCATAAAATTAGGAATATATGTAGATATATAAAGGTAATTAAAAATAAAGATGAATTTGAGAGAAGAAAATGCTGTGTATGAGAGGATGAGAGGAGTAAGGAAAGGAAAAATGGTTTAATTATAATTTATTTGAAAAAATATATTAATAAAAATTTTAAGTTTAGAAATGTAGAATAATACATAAGAAAAAGCCTAATAATATGATAAAATATTGCAGATACTAAATGTTACATATGCATACTACACTCCTGGGATTTCTGTGGCCAATATTCAGTCTAGTTTCAAGTGTTCCCAATTCTTTGCAGTGTTTTGCAGCTTCTTGGCCTCTGACAGAATCTTCTAGAAATACATCATAAGAATATTGATGTTTCATTTCTACGTTCATTGTCAAGAATGGTATATGTCCTACTGAAATAAAGAGTAAGTGCTGTGGAGTCAGGAAAGAGCTGTGTAAAATAAAAATGTCTGAAAATATGCAACAATAAGTTGTCAAATTTTATATATTAAACTTTCTCAAATATTTCTATGTCAACCATTCAACAATGAAGTGAAACAACACGACATAGAAATACATTTCTGGTGTTTTTGGTAAAGAATGGTGAGTGTATAGGGCTAGAGAAATCACTTACACATTAAGAGTGTGTTCTGAACTTGCAGAGGACCCAACTTCAGTTCCCAGTGCTCACAACAGGAGGCTCACCACTGCCTGTGACTCCAGCTCCAGGGGATCCAATCAATGCCCTCTTCTGTCCTTAACTGTACCAGAACTCACATGCACATATTCACCCATCATTTAATCAGCGTGTGCTCTCATACTATGCTAAAACAGACTCCCCTTTTACTATTTACAAAGGACCATAGCTTGGTTTGTGTATCAGACTAATTGTGGCCTCAGAAAATGCCCTGTTTTCATATTTGTGGAATAACTTGAGTAATATTGGCATCAATTCTTTGAAATTCTGGTAGAATTCTGCACTAAATCTATTTCTTTTTGCTGGGGAGATATTTTATTGAATGCTTTGATTTCACTTAAATTGCTTATCTACTCTTCATTTAATCTTTATCCTTTATAAGTGGTATGCATAGAGAAAATTATCCATTTCTTCTAGATTTTCCAATTTGGTGCAGAACAGGTTTTTAAAGTATGTCCTTATGATTCCTTCGATTTACTTTTGTCTATTTTTTATGCCCCATGTTCGTGTCTTATTTCTTTTTTTTAATTTTTTTTATTTTTATTTTGCAATACAATTCAGTTCTACATAGCAGCCATGGATTCCCTTGTTCTCCCCCCTTCCACCCCCCTCACCTTCCCCCCAGCCCACCCCCCATTCCCACCTCCTCCAGGGCAAAGCCTCCCCCACGGACTGAGATCAGCCTGGTAGACTCAGTCCAGGTAGGTCCAGTCCCCTCCTCCCAGGCCGGGCCAAGCGATCCTGCATAGGCCCCAGGTTTCAAACAGCCAACTCATGCAATAAGCACAGGACCTGGTCCCACTGCCTGGATGCCTCCCAAACAGATCAAGCCAATCAACTGTCTCACCCATTTAGAGGGCCTGATCCAGTTGGTGACCCCTCAGCCATTGGTTCATAGTTCATGTGTTTCCATTCGTTTGGCTATTTGTCCCTGTGCTTTATCCAACCTTGGTCTCAACAATTCTCGCTCATATAAACCCTCCTCATTCTCGCTAATTGGACTCCCAGATATCCACCCGGGTCCTAGCCATGGATCTCTGCATCCAGATCCCTCAGTAGTTGGAGGAGGTTTTGGCCATCCCATCACCAGAGTAGGTCAGTTTGGGCTGTCTCTCGACCATTGCCAGCAGTCTGTTGTGGGGGTGTCTTTGTGGATTTCTGTGGGCCTCTCTAGCACTTTGCTTCTTCCTATTCTCATGTGGTCTTCATTTACCATGGTCTCCTATTCCTTGTTCTCCCTTTCTGTTGTTGATCCGGCTGGGATCTCGTGTCTTATTTCTTAACTTAGATATTCTTCCTATGGTTTAGTTAAGTTGGATAAGGGTTTGTTAATCTTATTGATTTTTCCTGATGACTAAAATTGTTTTATTGTTTCTTTGTATTTATTTTGTTTGTATTGCATTACATTCAACCATGAGTTTGTTCATTTTTTTTTCAAAGAAACATGAAGTTGTTTAATTAGGTTGTTAGCAGTTTAGAAAACCAGTTTGTGAGGATACATCCTGTTCGTCAGAACTGAGATCGCAGGTAGCCCTGGAGCTGAGGAACAGCTTTGATCTTTGGCAAAATCTGCGAGTCCTCAGCTTTCTGATCAGCCTTTCGCTGCTCTGTAATCTCGTATTTCTCCTTCTCAGTGTCGAAGATCTCCCCCTCCTGGTGTCTGGGCTTGCACAGTTGCTTCTTCTTGAAGTAAGCGTCAGTCAGGTGTTTGGGGATTTTAACTTTGCTGATGTCAACTTTTGTGGATGTGGCGATGACAAATTTCTGGTGTGTTCTTCGCAGAGGAACTCTGTGCTGGGTGTGATTTCTCCTTTTTGTTCTAGAGCTTTCTGGTGTTGCTGTTAACTTCCTTGTATTATACCTCTACAATATTTTATTTATGTACTTAATGATCTGACCATAAGTTTGGGTATATCCATTATGTATGTCACTGTGACCTGTAATCATGTTTGTATCTATTTTTCCAGCACCTATTATCTATCTATCATCTATGAATCTCTTATTTATCTATCATGTATCTAGTCATCTTTGTGTTTTTTCTATATGTATGTATGTATGTATGTATGTATCTATCTATCTATCCATCTATCATCTATCTCTTTATTATCTGTCTATCTATCATCTATCTATCTATAGATAATATATAACATCTATCTATTGTCTGTCTAAATACATATATACCTATTAACTATCCATCATCTTTTTTCTCTCCTCTTCATTCTGTCAATCAGATGATCTGTCAGTCAATTATTTATGTATTTGTGATTTATTATTCTATCTTTCAATCATCTATTTTTGCACATCTTTCTTCTACCCATTATCTATTTACCTCTGTTTGTCATTCTGTCTGCCGATTATATTCTTCTAAAGAGCTCTAAATATCATATGTTTTTCTGTATATTCACAACATATTTTTCTTTTCAAAGTAAGCACAGTCTTGAGGATTTCCATGGAGTTTTCAGTCCCTCAGTCTCCTCTCAAGAATTTTCATTCATCATGCAACCAAGACAGTATGCCATGGGTTGAAGAGAGGCAACCAAGTTTCACAGTTCCAGACACAATTACAGTTACCTTAGCAGAATGCTAAGGAGATTAGACTATCCTTGCCTGCCACTAAAATAAGTTAGTATTCCTGTTAAGAGATAGTCTATCTTTTGTGGGAGTCCTTTTTTCCTTGGTAACTCACTTTCATTAAGGACTCATTGGGGACACAGGAAGGTGTTTTTTTTTGTGGGTTCAAATGCTGATATAGCTGCAGCCTAGTTAGCATCCTGTCTGTGTGCCTTCATAACAGCAGATACTTGTGAGATAGTAGGACCCACAGGAGGTGTGAGGTCTCAGTTACTGACCACACATTTCTAAATTTGTTACTTCACATACAAAATAAGCAATTCCTTTTTGAAATACTTAGTTGGTCTTGTGGGGAATTGCAGAAGAAACAAAGAACCCTTCTGTTTATATTTCCAACATGAAAGGAGGATTTCCCTAAAAATGTCTAATGTTGCTCAAATTCCTGTCTCTCTTTTCTCCTTATATTTAGCCTAGGTTATACCAGAATTCAGTCATGGAGCAGATACTAGTCTCAAACTTGAGTTAATTCTTTTCAATCCAGCCCAATTCTAGGAATTTAGATGCTCATTCTAACACTTGTCTGTAAACATTTTTATCTTTATTTTTATTTTTAAAGGAGAAAAGGTTTGTTTCACTTACAGTTCCATCACTCTGGGTGAATCGCAGGGACTGTCACATTTGGACCCACAATTAAAAATCAGATCAAGAAGTGTTTCCTTATACTGAACTGTTTACTTCACTCTTAAAGATTTAAGGACTACCTTAGGAGATGATGCCACTCTCTAAATGTTGGGCAGGTCTCTTCACTTCACCAATTAAACTAAACAGGAAAATTCCCCCCAAGACATGATCATATGCAAACTCTCTATGATTTATACAACTCTTAGACTCTAGAATCTATTCTGTATTCTGGCAAGTTGATATTTTAAATTAAATTCACACTAGCAGATATACCAAGATAATACTGCCATTTACAATTGCCTAAAATATTTAGAAACAAGTGCTACACCTGTCTTGAGAATACTCCTGAAGGAATTTATTCATCAGCACACCATGGATACAGTTGCATATTTATGTTTGTTGATCCACTACGTAATCCCAGCTGCTGTGAATTCATTTGCAGTACCGCCTTGTCATATTTAGAGACCAGCCTCTCACTGTACTCCTTCCCATCTTCTAGCTCTTATGCTCATTACAAAGCCTTCTTTTATGATAGTCCCTGAAGCTGGAGGGGTCATTGTAGATGTCCCAAGATCGCTGTTTGTCTCTATATAGTGTTTTAGAACTCTTTGGCTGGTGTGTCTGAGAAATGTTTCAATATTTCTTGGAAGACTTTATATCACCACCACCCCTACTCCTACTGGTTTCCTTTCTACTTCTAGTTGGTTCTCTCTTCTGCTTTCCTGTTTCATGCACTTCTTACCCACCATCCTTAATTCTCCACCCCTTTTATTCTCCTCTTCTTCTCTGTCACATCTGTCACTACAAGTCTCATGGATCATTGTAAGAGATGGCATTAGTTCTCTCTTTCTGTATCTCTACTTCTCTCTTTCACACACACACACAGACACACACACAGTATAACATATATGTGTCAATATGCCATAAAGAAACTCTATACTTTGTTAGCTAACCTAAAAATTAATAAAAATTAAAAATATAGAAATATAATTTTTAATTTTTATTCCACATAATGAAGTATGTGGTATTTATCTTTCTGAAACTTGCTCTTATGATAAACTATGATTCCCATTTACATCCATTTTCTTGTAAACTTTCTATTTAAGTTTTCATTATGAATACATGTTAGGAAAAAATATTTGTGCCCACTGTTCACTAGGGAAACCAGGAATGTTAACCATCCATGCTTGTCTTTTCAAAAAACAGATGCATAGCCTGAATTTTTCCTGGATATATGGGAATTAAATTTGATTAATACCTTCGTGATCTGTGTTGTCTGAAGGCTCAGATCCTATCAATCTCCTACAAGAAGGTCCAGAAGCAGCTAATAGTCTATATAATCATAGTTTTCTCTGAAAGATCAGGCCATATCAAGCTCCCAAAATGAGGACTCCAGAAACTTAATAGTCTTTGTGTCCCTTACATTATCTGCACAGCCAGGTACTTCCTCCTGCTACAAGAACCAGGACCAGAGTTGGCTAATAGCCCAAATGACTGCTAAGCTATTTGTGTGATAGAGAACACACAAGAGTCTACCCAAGTCCCTTAAACGTACAGAGGTAGCCTATCTCTACAGTCTATCTTTTGGAACAAACCATTTTCTGACATTTGATACCGTTATACTTCATTTTGCACTAGGGATTGTATTATATCAGGATTTTTCCCTCAAAGTGTACTGTGTTTCAATGTACTTAAAACAAACTGCTTGATGTCAGACTCCAGTAGTTTGTACCAGGGAGACAACTAAGTCATGCTGAAATGTGTTTTCTTCTTGCCTTTCAAGTTTAATTTCTTTTCCACCCATAACATTTGCAAGGATCCCCACAGCTGACAACCAGTGTGAAGGGCTAAGTCCTCAGTGAAGGGTAAACCACTTTTCTAGTGTAGGGCAAATCCTATAATGCTATGAACATAGTTGAGCATGTATCCCTGTGGTACGATTGAGTATTCCTTGGTTATATGTCCAAGAGTGGTATAGCTGGGTTTTGAGGAAGATTGATTCCCAATTTCTGAGAAAACGCCACACTGATTTCAAAAGTAGCTATACAAGTTTGCACTCCAACCATCTTTTTAATATAGTTGGAATGAGTTATTTCCTTTTATTAGATGCTTACTAACTTATGTTTCAAATTTTTATTTTTTGTATATGGGTGTTTTACCTGAATGCATGTTGTATACAGTGGGGACATCTGGTACCTGTAGACTCCAGAAGAAAGCACTTGATTCTCTGGAGTTGGAATTACCAGTGGTTGTGAGCTGCCATGTGGTGCAGAGGAATTGATTCCAGATCCTATGGAAGAGTATCCAGTGCTTTTATCCACTGGATACTCCAATCCTACAAACAACCTTTTTATAAGCAAAATATTCTTAATTTAATATTACCAAATTATTCTCAAAATAAATACATATCTTCTTAGTTTAAAATTCTGTAATTACTCTCAAAAAAGATATGTGGGGTCAGTCATAACATGGGAGTTAGAGTTTTACTTGGATGGGTAAAATTAGTTTTGTTTGTATTAAAAACCATGAACGTACTGGACAAAGCAGGTGAGTAGAGGGTCTTTCTCTTTCTATCCCTTCTCTTCTCCCTTGCATCTTACTTGACAATGTCATCATTTGAAGATACCTATACTCTTATTTATATTTTTAAATTCATTCACTATTTTTCCAGCCCAATCTGAGTGTCCCCTCCATCTTTTCTATTGTTCCTTCCTCTAACCTTCCTTCTTTCTTCCATCCACTTCTCCTGTCTCTTCAGTAAAGGGTAGGTTTTCCATGTATACCAGCCAGACATGTCACATCAAGTTACAGCAAGCCCATGTATCTCCTTCCTGTTAAGGCCTGATTAGGAATATAGTAGGAGAAAAGGATTCCAAAAGCAGGTAACAGAATGGGAGACAGCCCCTGCTCCCATTGTTAGGAGTCCCACAAGAAGATCAAGTTATAGAACTGTAACATATATGCAGAGGGCCTAGATCAGTACCATGTAAGCTCTCTGGTCATCAGTTCAGGCTCTGCAAGCCTCTCTGAGTCCAGGTTAGTTCATATTGTGGGCTTTCTTGTGGTACCCTTTACCCCTCTTACTCCCACAATTCTTCCTTCCCTTCTGCAACAGGATTCCCTCAGATCCGTCTAATGTTTTGTCTGTGGACCTCTGCGTCTGTTTGTTGACAAATTACAAATGATCTTATTAATTAAAAAATGTGGAGCCTAATATAGGAGTGAAAGCCTCAGATCATGGAAATAGTGAGATCCACCAGCCAACCTACCTTACCAGGTCTGCAGCTTCCAAATGCCATGACTTCCTGTCTACCCAGGCTTTTACTGCCTTGCTGTTCGGCCCTCTCATTGGCTATCTTAGCCCAGCTACCTCATTTCCTCTTCCTACACAGCTCTGTTACTTTCTGTCCATCTGCATAGACCTCCAGATCTCTATGGTTGGTACTGGAATTAAAGGTATGTGTCACCATGCTGGGATCTGTTCCCTAGTGTGGCCTTGAACACACAGATCCTGCCTGCTAAGTGATAGGATTAAGGGCATGTGCTACCACTTCCTGACTATTGTGTTTACTTAAAATGGCTTGCTATTTCCTCTGATCTCCAGGCAAACT